TGCTTATCATGGCAAACCTAAATATTACATGTAATATAAAGGATATAATTATTAATCATATGGTGTACCACCTCCAAGGTCTTATGCGCCAAATATACCTATTTAATAATCTTGGGTGTTTTAACAGACCGTTACAACTATTTAAATAGATGGCAGACCAATGGCTAAATACTACGTGGAATACACTGCAATTTCTAATGTGACTTCTTTGACTATTAGTACCATCCGAAACTCGACAAAGACCCGTGATAGTCTCGGAAACAGCATGCCAGGGTGAGATATGCAGAGCCGATAAAAAGACCCGTATCGAGTGCGAAACGATGCATTCTTAGAGATAAAGCGCAAACATCCGTATATACAAGTTCATCGCAATCTGATTACGGAGAAAAAAAACTTTAGCAAACTCGAATCGGCGCGAAAGTTTGAAATTATCTATGCTTCACCACCTACTCAGAAGTTGATATGAACAGGAGTAACCTGAACCCCCCCCCGTTTTCGACATAAAGGGATACGCCACCGGTATAGCCTGCAAACCATACATTTAATAAACTAGATGATGTAAGATTTGGTCTCTCAAGGCGATATTAACGCCTTAGAATAAATAAACGCGTAGGTAAATTCTGAGTATCGTGAAAATATCGAAGTAAATAAACGAAATAAGACATTTAGTAAAGTTAGGTATGCCTCGTGAAAACAGCAATAATCTGAGGGATTGTGAGGCTGAGACATTGCCCATATAAAATCCTCTCAGTACTGTTTCCGCCGAAGGGATTTTATTTAGTGTTTAGTTGTCGCTCTATTAGCAACTATGGTATGTTTCATTGGGGCGAATCCGAGAGACTCATAATATCCTATCTTTAGGAAAAAATAATAGAAAAAAAATACTCTTTATGTCCTTAGTTATTGTCTTAACCAATAACTTGCCACTATCAGGAATTACCGACTTAGCCTTCATCAGTCTGGCACATCTGGTTGGCTGATCGGAGGATCAACTAGGTAACGTTAATAGTCCCTAGAAACCTATATTCGGTTGAGCCATCTCGCTACCGAAGTATTCAGATATAAATAAAGTTGGAAAGTAAATAAAGTTCTATTAATAGAACTAGAGCAACTCTTTATGTTTGGTATTTTACTGAGGTCTTTTAATGGCCTCGTCCAAATATCTGATATGTAAAATGGAAAAGGTATTAATTAAGAAAACCATTAAACCCCATTTTAGGAAACTTAAGTTCCTCGTGCTATTAAGAGTACATTTAGGAAACTTAAGTTCCTCGTACTATTAAGAGTACATTTAGGAAACTTAAGTTCCTCGTACTATTAAGAGTACATTTAGGAAACTTAAGTTCCTCGTACTATTAAGAGTACATTTAGGAAACTTAAGTTCCTTGTACTATTAAGAGTGCGTTTATAATTTACGTACTGCTTAAGAGTATGTTTATAGCATAGAGTCTAATGTGGAGGCCCGGCTTATTACACAGCCCCCACCCAGCTTTGAAACCCATGAGAAGCAAGTTGTTCACTCAAGCTGATTATGGGTCAAAAAGCAAGAAAGAAAAAACAGGTTGAAAACATTAAGTAGCATAACATATAGTTAATGTTTCTCAGGCGGAGAAGTTGAGCGTTCTCGGTTACCCTGTGAGTTTTGAGCTTAGGTCCAGTAGGTCCGTGGTGGTCGACTGGACGTTTCTTACGCTTCAGTGTCTTAAGCACATATAAAGTATGAGCATTAAGGCTCGGGATAGATGCTGTAGGCGGATAA